AAATTGTCGGATTAAAGATGGAACTGTACAGGGAGGGGAGGGTAGCCATTAATGGAGTTAGAGGGAAATGTATGTTTTGTTCCAGTTGAAGGCAGGGAAGTTTAGGTTTCACTTTTTTTTTTTTTTACTTTAAAATAATTTTTATTTTTTTAACTTTATAATATAATGTTTAAATAATCTTTTGGATTAAAAAATAACACATGTCATCATTTGATTGGTCAAATTGACATGTCAACGCGAGTGTATTTCACACATTCTCTATTTTTTGTTTATTTTCGAAAAAATGTTCAAATGGTTCAAATTCAGAATGGTTGAAGTGTTCAATAGGTAGTACGTCTAGTTGAGGTGTCTAAATGAATAATCGGGACAAGTTTGAGTAGCCGCATATGACTTTGGCCTTGATATTTTAAGTAAAAATTGCAAGACTTAAAATAAACATGATCATGACTACTACATAGTATCATGCCTCATAATATGCCTATTAATTTCATCTTTCATTTAATTTTTGATCTTCCTTTCTTTAACGAAGAAAAATAAACGTTTTAATGTTCTCAACTACCATTCTCCATATTTTATAAAAAAAGGAGTAAAAATGTTTTAAGTTTAACTATAATTTGGAAAATATATCCCTATATAATTTGACCAAAATTATATTTTAGACATACATTTATAAAAATTAGAAAATACAAAAATTCTAAATAATTTTAATTTTCTCTTCCAATTTTAAATTAATCTTCTAACATTTAAAATTAACCTCCTCATTTTATGAAAGTGGACTAAATTCCAAGACACGTGGCTTGTAATAATTTGATTCCATTGTACCAAAAAATATATTTTTTTCCAAAAAAATAAAAAATAAAGAGAGAAATAATTAAAAAACATGAAACATGAAGTAAAAATTAAGATCGTGTTGATGTGTCACACTCGGATTGAAAATGTACAAAACAATTTCTATTTTAGGTATTTTTTCGGTTTCAAATTATTTATCATACTTATGTGTAATTATTTTATTATTATTAAACTATTTATAGTCTTTAAAAATAATTACTATTAAAAGTAAAATAGTAAGGAAAATAAATTTTAGCATAAATTTTTATATGAAATAATTATTTTTTAAAATCATGATCGATAACAAAATAAAAAATCGCGATAGGTGCAATTTCTTGTTAAAAAGAGTAAGATTTCGTTTTCGTCCTTCGTTTACGCATAATAATTAGATGGAGAGATCCTATCGAAACCTCATTCTTATACAATGACATGCCAATATCCAAACCTCGCTAATTACCTAATATGTTTATTTTTTTAAAAAAATGTAATACTACTAATTTTAAGAAAAAAGGTATTTACTTAAGTTTTTTTAATCGAAATAAGTATTTTCGAATAATACAGAAGTTAAATTAGTTTTTTCATCAACGAGAGTAGTGATGGAGTGGTAGTAGGATTGTTCCACTCTTAAGCAGAATTCTGCGATTTGAGATCAGGATATTGAAAAACTTATGTTTACAAGATTCAAATTTAATCAGAGATCCAATATGAATTTCAAACATTAGTGAAAAAATTTATTTATTTTGCAAAAAAATTAGTAATATTTTTCGATCGATCTAATTAAAAGGATTTACATGTAAAAAATTTTGTAGGTACTAAATTAATTAATAGCAATTTATTTCTATTCTATTGATGAATGCCAGCTTCTTGTATCTGTTTATTTGGCCATTGGGAACTCATAAAGTCAGTATTTTTTTTAAATAAACAAATTATTGAAAAAAATCAATACACCTTTTTAAAGTGTTTTTTTCTTCTTCTAATTTGGTAGGGGTGTTTGAAAATGTGGTCCATATATAAATTGTCGATAGACACTTTCATCGTTTACTATTAATTGTCATGTGACGTTTTAAAAAAAATTAATTTAATTAATTTTTAAAGTAAAATTAAATTATATTAATTTAATATTTTAAATAAAAATTAAATAAAAATATAATAAAAAACCATAAAATATTTACTGTTTGACTTAAAAAAAAATTATGACAATTAAAAATAAACGAAGACAGTATATATATATATATATTAATTTAAATACAGATAATTCTATCGTTGGAACCAGTTGCCGGTGTGTTATTTAATTAACTAAAAAACATTTAGACAATGATTAGGGCATCTTTTTATACTTTTATTTGACTTTATACATGTGAGCTAACATTTTAAGCCAATATGGAGTTGGTCTAATTTCAATTTTTTACTAATAGTAGAATTATATTAATTTTAAATTGTGATACTATCAACTGTTTTAAAAATAGGTAAAAAAAATTGATTCAATATTTATATTAATCATAGCTTTAAATTTTGTAATAAGTATCATATTTGACTTGAAGAGATTGTTTATATTATATAAAAGGATTTTATCAAAAAATAGTTAGCTAGTTATTTTTATTATTATTAATTTATTTTTCACCATCAAATCTTTATTAAATTATTATATTTTATATTTTTTAATAATATGTAATCATAAATATTTACTTATAAAAAATATCATAAAAATAGGTAATTTATGTCTTTAAGATATTACCATACATTACTTATAAATTATAATTTACTCATTTCATAAAATTAATAAAATGAAAATTTCAAACTGATGTAGGTTTTATATTCTATAGTCAACAGCCTAATTAAGGTGTACTGATTTTCAATTTCAAATTTAAATTGATAAGCCATTTTTACTTTAAAATGACTCATTGGACCTACAAAGCCTTTATAGCCATGTACTAAAATCCAATAATATAGTGACATGTTATAACTTATAATATATGATACTATCCCAAATTATTTGTCATGTTACGCTTATCGAAAGTTAATTTGACTAAAACTATATGAAAAGTATTATAAATTACAATTTTTTACATATTAATATAATGAAAAAATATATTTTAAAATTTTAATTCAATTTTTTGTAATTATTTTAAAAAAATAGAAATTATAATAAATAATATTGGACAGAAAGATTAATAATTAGGTAAAATATATAAATGTGGAAAGTATAAATGTGAGTGACAGAGTAAGAAACTAGTTGGACACGTTGCATCTAAAGTAAACTACTTTTCTTGGGATCTAAAAAAGTAAACATAACTTCTCTGCATAAGATACTGAAATAAATAAATATTTCGTTTTAAAAAATGACCTAATTTAAATTGATATAAAATTTTAAAACATTAAAATTATATCAAATATATTAAAATACTATTTAAATTTATCACCTTAAACTTATCAGTAAAATTAAAATATTTACCTAAAAAGAAATTTAAAAAAGAATGAGCTCTTTTTTTTTGGTTAACATTTCACTTTCAACTTTTCACTTTATATTAAGTCACAAGATTAATAACAGTTTTGTACATTTGACATAACTTTAATTTAGAATCACAAGATTCAAAAGTCTTTTTTATTTTTTTAAATTCAATACCTAGTCAAACTAGGTCATTCTTCATTAAAAGGAGAAATAATACATAGATGTTTATATTAAATTAAATTAATTAACAAAACAATGCAATGCTAATAGCTTTAGATTGGGTGAATCATACAAAATAGCTCTAGATTGGGTGAATCATACGTATTGTCACCTAACTTTCTCATCATTATATTAAATTTAGGCCAAAGTGATATGCAGCCACTCAAACTTATCCCGATTATTCATTTAGACACCTCAATTAGAGATACTACCTATTGAACACTTCAACCATTCTGAATTTGAACCATTTGAACATTTTTTTGAGAATAAACAAAAAATAGAGGATGTGTGAAATACACTCGTGCTGACATGTTAATTTGACCAATTAAATAATGACATGTGTTATTTTTTAATCCAAAAAATTATTTAAACATTATATTATAAAGTAAAAAAAATTATTTTAAAGTAAAAAAAATGAAGAAAAAAAAAAGTAAAACTTAAACACCCACTTCCCTGCCTTCAAGTGGAATCCAAAACATACATTTCCCTCTAACTCCATTAATGGCGACCCTCTCTTCCCTGTACAGTTCCATCTTTAACCCCACAAATTTTTTTTTCATCAACTTTTTTATTAATTATAACTTTTTACTTCATCTCGTTTTTTTAGGTAGAGAAAGATGGGGAAAAAAATCTCTCCGAAAAATTTATAAATGAAACTAAATGCTAAGAATTTTGAAACCATTAGAATGGTGGGGGAAGAAGATAACCACTGATGCTAAGAATTTTGAAATCATTAGAATGGTGGGGGAACAAGATAACCACTGGTGTATGGGTATGGGGGTTTGGGTGGGGTAGGGTTGATAGAAATAGGGAAGAAGAAGACATCTGTTCTTCTTCTTTTTTGTTAATTATTTTTTTTAGAATTAACTTAGGGGTATAAATTAAGAAAAAAATAATAATATTATTTTAATAAATTAATGCGCTCAAGAAAAGTGAATTACA